TAACTTGTGGACCCCATGACAAATGATATAGCAATCCTTGCTCTCCAAGTTCATTATGATTACTGTGAACCTAAGGTTACACGCGCAAGGTCAATAAAATATATTTTAATAAATGATGTATAAAATTTAAATAATTTGGTTTTGGGCCATAGGCAACTTACATATGTTTTGAACCATGCTGCAAATTGTTCATCGCACAAACGGTCAAACTCATTTGGTGGTAATCCACACATTGAAGTTTGGAAAATCCTGGTAACAAATACCATTTATATATTAGCAAATATTTGACACACAATACATATATTTGCAAATTTACACTTACACGAAGTATGGCTCGACTTCTGGGCAGTTTAGTAAAATATATGTATGGGCTGCATGCAATTCTTCGCCTGTTAAGTAACGAAACTGACATGCGCCGCTTGGTCGACCCAGATAATTGAAAATAGAGAATGCTTTGCAATTGGGATCACTGGGGCCCTCATCATTTCTGCCTGCTCTCCGCCTCTTGCACTGCACGTGCGACTCAAAATAGTATGACGTAAATGTTGTCACTTCTTCCACAATATATGCATTACAAATTGAAGCTTCAACACATGCCTTATTCTTCACTTTTTTCTTCAAATGATATAAGAATCTAGTTGCAATAGAAACAAACTTATCGGAACATAATATATAATAAAGTAATTTTAACTTTATTTTAAAAAAAATTACCTCTCAAATGGATACATCCATTGAAATTGGACGGGACCTGCAACTTTGGCCTCATAAGGCAAGTGAACTAATAGATGCTCCATCGAATCAAAAAACGATGAAGGAAATATCATTTCTAAGTTGCAAAGAATAATTGGAATATATCTCTCCAGTTTCTCCATGTGTGATGCTTTTAACACTATCGAGCAAATATCATGCATGAAATTGCTTAACTCTATAATGGCGCCCCATACAAAGTTCGGTAGAACTTCCTTGAAAGCTATTGGAATTAGTCTTTTCATCAATATGTGACAATCATGACTCTTCAAACCTGTCAACTTGCATTCATTCAAATCAACACATCTCCCGAGGTTCGAAGCATATCCATCAGGAAACCGCACAGATTTCAACCATTGACAAACAACTCGCCTCTGCTCCCTATCCAATAAATAAACTGCTTTTGGTTTTGGTCCCCTGCTGCTTGCATCCACATCTAGTGTTGGCCGATCACAAATATCTCTCATATCTTTTCTTGCGTTCAAGTTGTCTTTTATTTTTCCGGTGATATCCATCATAGTATTTATGACATTGTCGAAAACATTCTTTTCTATGTGCATGACGTCAAGATTATGATGAATAAGATGGGCCTTCCAATACGGTAGATCCCAAAATATACTGCGTTTTGTCCACTTATGTGTACTTCCGTACGCAAAAGTCGTACCGTGAGGGTTCTGAACAACAGTTGGAAAGTCCTGCACCCGCTCCCAAATTTGATCGCCGATCAACCTCAATGGTGGACGTGTTCTTTCAGTCCTATTCTTGATGAACTATTTTTTATTCCTTCTGAATGTATGATTTATCGGTAAAAATTGTCTGTGACAGTCAAAATAGCTGGGCTTCTTTCCATGTTTTAATCTAAATGACTTTGATCTCTCCAAACATATCGGACATCTTAATATCCCAGCTGTACACCATCCAGATAACATTCCGTAAGCTGGAAAGCCATTTATCGTCCAAAGAAGAACAGCCTTCGTTACAAATGTTTGATCGGTAGAAACATCATATGTAAGGATATCTTCCTCCCATAGCCGTTGTAACTCTTCAATCAATGGTTGCATATAAACATCTATTAACTTTTCGGATTTTACGGGCTAGTCACGATCAATGTCAAAAATATATAAGGTGTCTTCATGCACATACCAAGTGGAAAATTGTACGGCGTTAAAATAACTAGCCAACATGAATAACTTTTTCCTGATTTCCCAAATTGGGCAAATCCATCAGCACTGAGACCTAACCTGATGTTTCGAGACTCTATCGCAAACTCAGGGTACGTTCTATCAAAATGTTTCCATGCCTCTACATCTGAAGGATGACACATTAGATCCTCTTCTGTTTCATGATTTGCATGCCAAGTCATGTGCTCAGCAATGGCTTGAGACGCATAAAGCCTTTGCAATTTGGGGATTAAGGGCAGATAAAATATTTGCTTGCATGGTCTACGCTTCTGATTACGACCCTGCCTCCTGTTAATCTTGTACCTAGGTTGGCTACAGAATTTGCAAGATTCTGCATTTTCATCATCTCTCCAATATAACATACAACCCCTACTACATACATCAATCCTTACAACCGGAAGACCTAAGTTATCCACTAGCTTTTTCATATCGTAAAAATCACTTGGCATGCTGTTGTCACGAGGCATTGTTTTCCGCATTACGTCAACAAAAGAGTTGAAGCAATCTTGCGACACATTATGCTCTGCCTTAATATTTAACAGTCTTGCTGTCACTGATAACTTAATGTTGTTGTCACAACCTGGCCATAAAGGTTCATCTGCTGCTTTCAGCACTTCCTAGAACTGATCAGATGAAAAAGCTCCATTACACACATTCTCATCAAAACCCGTTACTCCTATCTCTTCCAATTGTGATGCATGACTAATACCTACTTGTTCAGGTGTAGGAGTAAAACTAGTACTTGCATGGTTCGAATCTGAAACAAAATTCTGACCAGCTACATCAATCACCATCCTCTCGTATGGGTTCAATTGGTCATAATAGCTACATTCTTCCCTAACTAAAAATTGGTCACTTCTTCGATATCCTTCATCAGATATAAATGGTTCACCATGGCAAGTCCAATTATAATAATTCGGAGTAAACTCAAATCTACAAAGATGTTCTCTAACTGTATCACACACATGAAATTTACCATTACTGCACTTTCTACACGGACACCTTAACTTATTTCCATCCATGAACTCATATTTACTACTAGCAAAGTCTAAAAATAGTTCCAACCCAGTACGAAACTCATCGGTCAATCCTCGACGTCCAGGTAAGTTCTTATTATACATTCAAGCCCTGTCTCTTTGCATTGTGTCTGTATTAAAATAAAAAAATCTCGTAAAATATTTAAAATATCATATATACCGTTGTTAATTAAAACCATAAAATTATGAAAATTAAAATTTTATTTTTCACGCAACAATTACTTTGAAATTTAAAAAATTGAAAAAACTACCATGTAAAAAAGACTTACCCAGATATTTGACTGAAATCTTGGTAGCAGAAAGTGGTCAATTTGAAGAAAATTGTAACGTTCACTTGGATTGCGAGACCTTCAATTGGACACGTACCTAAATAAAAGCAAAATCACTTAACATTCATTTTTAAATTATTTTTTATTTTTTCCGAATTTTTTTTTAAATTTTTTTCTCTTATATTTTGGCAAGGGCGAGCGACCTCGCCATGGCCGCCGGTCCGGCAGCCGGCCTGATCACGAGCGAGGCCGAGCAGCCAGCCATGGCCGCCGGTCGACCTCGCCTCGGCCATGGCCGGGCCGCGCGGCCTCGCCGGCCATGGGTCGAGGCCGGTCGGCCTCGCCCTGCAGGGAGGCCGCGCGCCTCGCCATGGCCGCGGTCGACCTCGCCGTCGCTCGAGATCTCGGGCGACGGCGAGGTCGACCGGCGGCCATGGCGAGGCCGGTCGGCCTCCGCCAGATCTGGGCGAGGCCACCATGGCGACGAGGTTGACCGACGGCCTCGCCAGGGTGTGTCCGTCGCAAGTTTGCGACGGACAAAGACCGTCCGTCGCAAATTGGTGGCCGTCGCCGATCCGGCGACCGGCCACCAATTTACAACAAAAACAGAATAAAAAAGTCAATAAAAAAAATTTCGCATCAAGCGATGAATAGAAATAACAGGACCGTATTAGTCGCATGTTTAGTCACGAAATTAGCTACGATACTTACCGGTGGAAAAGCTTTACCGAGATTGATTTCTGCGCGCACGGCTTGTTGAGAGAAACGAAAGAGGGAGAAGGCAGGAGAAAAGCGAGAGACATGACGAATTACTACTGAGAGAGAGAAATTGATGGGTGGGGTGCATATAACGAAATTAATTTTCCGTCACAAATTAGCGACGAATCCATTTTCGTCGCAAATTGCAACAGATATAATATTCGTCGCTACTTTCGTCGCACAAAATTGCGACGGAAGATCAATCCGTCGCAAAATTCGTCGCACATTTGCAACGGAAAATTAGTCATCGCTAATTTGCGACGGAATTAGCGACGACCAACATTCCGTCGCAATTTTACAACGAAAGTTGCGACGGAAAATAATTTCGTCGCAAATTAGCGACGAAATTTGCGACGGAATTATTTTTTGTCGCAAATTTGCGACGGAATTGGTGACGGAAATTAATTCCGTCGCAATTTCCTTCGCAAAGTTGCAACGAAAAATTTTCCATCGTAAATTTTCGTCGCAAAAATCATGTTTTTTTGTAGTGCGCAAATGATGACGCTGTAGCTTCAATCCCACTAATTCTCACCGGTCAGTTAACAGCGTGGGTTCGAGTGACACTTCACCCCCGTAAACCACAGCTCATCCGTCGGTGCATATTGGGGTTGTTTCGGTACTTTTCGGACTCCAAAATTTTTTTCCAAAACGTGTTCCTACTCAGTCCTAGTCAAAGCCCCAAGCAAAGCAAGTGGGGCTTCCTCCGGGTAGCGTCCGCGGACAGCCGGCCCCCGCGTGGTCTTAACCGAAGCTTCCTTTTACGGTCAACTTTGGACAACTCTCTCATACTCATACTTTTCCGCTGTCTTCCGTTCTCGTAAAAGTCTCGGATTTCATTATCAAAGATGCTAACTAGAACCCCAAAAAGAATAAAAGATAAAGAAAGATTACAAAATGGAATCTCTTCTTTTTCTTGTGTTTAGACAATAAAGACAAGTTAGAATAACATTCGCCGAACAAAACAGACAGTTGGAATGAGAAGAATCTTCAGCAAACAAGTAACCGAGTGGAATGATAATCATTTGATTAGATTAGAGTTCAACTGTTCAACTATAACACGCGAAAACATCCTAATGTCTTTCCCTTTGCTCTTTATGCATACAGCCAATGCGATTCACTGCACACCCAAAAGGATAAAAGTTGAAAATTTTATATGTACATGGAGAGAGATTGATCTCCAAGTCCCACTTGAGTAAATTTCCTTCCTCTATTTAAGCCAAAAAGTTGCATCAGAGCAGCAGACTAAGGTAAAATCTCCCCATATGCTTCTTCACCTTGATAGAACGGCCTACTCCTTTATGGTCTCCAACGGAGGCCTCCTTGACCTGCACACGGCCAGCCTGTGCTTGTACTCCGCCAGGGGGAACCCCTCCACTTCTTCTAGCCTCGGCCTCATCTCGTCGGTGGCGGCGGCTCCCCCCTCAGGCGATTCCTGCACCTCCCCGGCGGACTCGGGCGACACCCGGACCTTAGCCCCAGCAGATATCCTCTTCGTGGCCGATCTCGCGGCCATCAACATCACGGCCATGTCGCCGGCCGCGACCACGGAGTTCACCCTCCGCATGGGGAACATGATGTAGACTTCGCCGAGCTGCAGCTCCTCGTCTGCGCCGAGCGCGGAGAACCGCCGCCCGACATGCAGGGACCGGGAGCTCGCGAGGAAGTGGCCCGGGCACTCCAGCATGAGCTCGGCCGCGTTGACCGGCTCCCGGAACTGCTTGATCTCCCCGCCTGGGAAGATGACCCTCGCGACCCTCGAGCTGCTCTTCATGGAAGGCGGCGTGATGAACGTGCACGAAATGTAGTTCCCCATGTTCGATCACCCTCGGAACAGGAATGGAGAGAAGACTTAAAAGAGAGACGTGCAAAGAGGGAGAAAGATGTCTGTCTGTGGTGTTTTGTGTGTATTGTGAACAGGCGAAGGGGCGTGGAATTGTGTATATATGGAGAGGAATGAGAGTAAGGGTCAACAGATACGGACCGGAAGTTTTTATATTGTGAAAGGGGGAAAATCAAGACATATGATGGAAGGTGGAGTGAAGGTTGTGGGAAGTTGACGTGCCGTTTCACGGAAGAATTGAGAAAGGCATGCGCGTTTGGCCGAAGGGTAGGGGAAACTGCAGCGAAGTTGCCTAAGTCATATGTTTTTTTTTTTTGTACTTTTCCCAACGCGACACGGTACAATGTACTCTCTCCTGCGTGCACATGCTCGTAGGAAAAACTAGTAGTTCTTACCGGTATCTATAGGCGGTGCAGAGGAGTCATGGGATCACGTGGACCTCACGAGGAATCACACATGATTCCATAGATCGGAGATGAATCGGCCCTATTGCTCCGAGTGCGGGCAACATATTATCTTCTGGCAAGGCGTTCGCCTGCGCTTCCCACATTGAATGCATGGGCAATTGGCGGGTATTGCATTAGTAGGAAAATGTTTTTGCATTCTACACGTACACTAAACCAAGAGTTTGTACCTCTAGTTTTGTAATTTCGAATTAGGCACCGGATTGCATTTCAAAGCAATTACCCCCTCCCTCCTCGCTTTGTCAATGAGCTCCCACGACCTCGATCTGAGGTTGCCGGAGATCATCACAACCTCGCCGTGGATATCCAAGCATGGGGAGGTTGGCGGTGGATGAACCGGAGAGGTAGTGGTGTCGGGGATGGGGACAGTTCTCGGACGCGGCTTTGCGGCATCAGATCATGGCGGGTGGCGGTGGAAAGACTATGGTTTCGGGGCTATTCGGTGGGCCTAGGTCATGGGGGATTTGGGGGCATTAGGATTTACACCCAAGTTCCTCACCATTATACCGCTCGATGTATCTGTCGAAGTCAATATTTAAATATACAAAGTCTTTGTCGTAAGAATAATACCAAAAACCGATGATATTGATCTATAGAGCACCCAACGATTTTCCATGGCATCTCTCTTTGTCACGCATCATTTTCGCTTCTCTTTCCATGAACATTCTTGAAAGAGATGTCGTGCCTATAATTTTCAAGTTATTATTAATGCTTAAGTTCTAGTCGGCCAGTGTGAAACCAAATACCTTAATATTGGGCAGATTCGTCGAGTCAAAAAAAAATGTGGAGATGCAGAATAAAGTGGAGTGTGAAACCGCGAAGTTAAATGGTAAGTCCACTGACAAATTTGCTATTCGATTTTGGGCGACGTTTCGCGACGATGGGGACTTCGTTTGGTCTGCTTGGGTTTTGATTGGTTTTCGACCTGTTCTGGTCGCTCTTGATGTTGAATAAACTTTTGAGTTAGTCATCGGATCGGGCGGGTTAACTACTAGAACAAAGGAAAAAGAATTGTGCCGCGGTGGACATCGAAAATCTATTTGTTTGAGAGAAGCGTTAGAAAAGTCCTAAACCTTTTGCATTGGTATTAATTAGTCCTAAACCTTTTTTTGGTGTCAATTCAGTCCTAAACCAGTAAACCTACGGATTTAGGACTGAATTGGCATCAATGCAAAATGTTTAGGACTTTTTTGATACTTTTCCCTTATTTGTTTCCATTGCACTATCGAATTATTGTTTCCGTCGCAGGAGTTAGATAGTACTTATTAATGTGTAATTTGCATGTGTTATGGGGTCTTTATTGTATTTATGTTTCTATATGTACCCAGCCTATAATTAATCATTCTTTAAAATACATATGACGCAACCTTAATTGGGATTGACCCGCCATAGGCACTTCGTCCTTATTTTCTCTTCGACTCTGAATATCATCGGCATTTTAGGGAAAATACCAAAAAAGCCGTAAAGCTATTGTACTTGTACCAATTCAGTTTACAACATTTCAATTGTGCCAATTTATTCATAAACATTTTGACGATTTGTCAGTTTAGTCATTTCAACCAATTTTAGCCTAAAACCACTAACATGGCAGTCTAGTCAGCGCCAGCCGTTTTACGTGGAACGGCCGGTGTCGACGTAAATAATTTTTCAATTTCTTAATTTCCTTAAAATTTTCTATTATTATTTTTCTTCTTTTCTTTATTTTTTTCCAACCCTAGGCCAGTGACCCTTGCCTGAATTTGGGCGAGGGCCGACGCCCTCCCCTGTGACCTGTGAGGGCGAAGAGGTTGCCGCCTATGGCTGACTCGCCTGTGGTTGATGAGGATCAGCTAGCGACCTCGCCGGCGACAGAGTTGGAAAAAAAATGAAAAGAAAAGAAGAAAAAAAGGAAAGAAAAAAAATAAATTCTACAAAATTTAAAAAAGTTGTCCATGTCAACAATTTACGGTCAAAATTGATCGGAATGACTAAATTGGCAAATTATAAAAAGATTTAGGACTAAATTGATAAATCGTCAAAATGCTTGAGATTAAATTGACACAATTGAATTTAGGATTAAATTGGCTTAATTGAAATATTTAGGACCAATTAGCACAAATCTAATGAGTTTAGCACTTTTTTGATAATTTTCCTACCGTATTTATTCTAGTTTTTTGTGCCCTAGACTCAGAGGTCACCTTCCTAGTCCTGATAAAGATAGGTCATTCATGTCGGGACGTAGAAGCTCTCTCAATAGAGATTGTACCCGCGATATTTTCAAGGGATTATTTCCTTTTGCAAACGATGTGCTAAGGGGGATCCGAAATATCACAATGGCAAATTCAATAGATTTTATGACTCGCTCGAGAGCCGACCCTGAGTGGAGAGAGATCCATTCGCGAATCACGACACTTTTTCATCTTTCGGAATTTCCGAGCCTTTTTGGGCCTAATTTGAATGATCACGAGGCATCTATAGTAAAGCTTTTATCCAATTTGGTATTCCAGAAGCACGAGTTCCCATCCAACCGAGTGCAATGCATCATATATTCAAAGTTTATTGGGATTTTCGTTTACCAGTGCCGTTAGCTTCAAGGGATCAATTATGTCGATTCTAATGGGGACAAGTGAATGTAGACACTCTCAGCATGTCCGTGAAATACCAATCATAACATAGGAGGAGCTGGCGGAAGCGATCAGTCCTAATTTTGTGCTCTGTGTGCTCACCATTGTCAGGATATCTTGAACAAAACAGAAGAGAACTCAGCACAGCAATTCACCACCTCCACTCTTTGTATAGGAGCAGGGGTCTGAGGAAATGCCGAATCAAGTTGGCATTTTGAGAAGCAACTAAGGTAGATGAACGATCCAATTGCTTCGATCTTCCTTTTGCCATGGACCCATAAGTATGTCGATCGTGTGTTGTTTGTCCTTCTCAAAGGTAGGATTCATTTGTTACATCAATCAAAAAGATGTATGAGCTTAGCGCAAAAAGAAGTAGCAAAACAAAACACGTTCCAAAATGTGCCAAATACAACTTTACAGTACTCATAAATACTCTCTTTGACATTCTACTTGTGATGGAACCTTAGAAAGGGCATGTTTTTTGGTGGTGGTCGTGCACGCAGTAGAACTGATATAGATCTACCAGTCGCAGGATTTGCTTAATATGTCAAGTCATATAACTTTTTTTTTGTCAGATCAAGTCATATAACATGAAAGTAGTAATTTCAAGGGGATCCTTGACCCCATTCACACATCTGGTTTGGAAGGGAGAACGAGAATTAGCTTCATTTATTGCTCGTATACTGAACCAGCCCTATACAACCCAAAATCCTTAAAAAGAGCTACGTACAGAATTCACTTAATATAGCACAACTCAACGATAATACAAAGGAAAGAATAACTTGATGATAAGTGGGCATCAAGACAGAACAGTGAACTCTAACTAGATCCGATCCTCAGGAAAAGTTCCAGGACAGGAGCAACGATAGTCAAGTAACATATACCAAACAAGACAGGAAAGAGGAAGGCATGTCCCCAGCCAGCCTATTGTGGCCTGTAGTAGCCACTCTGGTGAGACGGCGGGTATGGAGGCTGAACAGTGTACGGAGGCCTTGGAAGAGAACCATGTTGCTGAGCATGGGCATTGTAGTATGGCCCACGCCACCCAGGATATGCAGGTTGGCCATACTCATGGCTGACCGGAGGAGCTTGTTGCTGTTGATGAGAGGGGTAAGGGGCACCGTGTTGAGCTGGAACCTGATAAGGTGGTGGTGGCTGCGGAGCCGAGCCATACGATGGAGTATGGTAGCCATAGCCAGTCATGGAGGTCTGCTCAGTAGGCTGATAAGGAGGAGTTTGTGAATGAGGAGGAGGATGAGATACACTTTGGGGATCTGTTGAATTGGGTCTTTGAGGCTGGTGTCCAACCGCAGGATAGCTGCTGTTGTATCCTCCAGCATTTTTATCCTGAAAACTCAGACCGGCCATATTTCTTTGTACATCCTCCATCATTTCACGGCACTGGATGTTTCTTGTCATCACAAAATCGGTGCACTGCTGCTTCACGTTTGTAATTGCATCCTGTCAAATCAAAAAGGATACCAGTTCTTACAACTCGAGGATGAACCAAACATTTTGTTCAGAATTAGCCCATTGAAATCAACCATTACAACCAAACAACTCTTTGATAATCGAAGAAACATCAGATAATAGCCAGAGTACATCCTCACAACAAGCTGATTAACGAATTAAATAGCACGCAATTATCACAACACCCAAAAATGAGCATGTCTTACCTGAAGAGTGACATAGAACTTCAACCCCTCATTGATATTCTCCTTGATTTCTCGATATTTAGCTATGGCAGCTTGAATTTGCTTATAACATTTCTCGCGCGATGCTGAAAATTTGAAGGGAGCATTCACAAATATACCCAATTAATAAATTGACTTGGACAAAAAAGAGCAGACCCCAGGCAAACATCACGAACGAAAGCGATATTTATTTCTTCTTGAAATAGTAATGTAACATCTGAATCAAACAGAAAATACCATTAGCTACCATTAAACAAAAAAAAGGGCCTTTAGAGAGCTGTTACAAAGGAAAAGTAAAAGATTGCACTTGAGGTAAAAGGAATAAAAAAGCACACGATCTCACAGGACTAGGTTGAAGCCTAATTCAACTTTCTCCACAAATCAGTAGATGGTCTACCATCTTAACTTTAAAAGAAAAAAGACAAAAAAAGAAAAAAAAGAAAAAGCAAGAACTGTGAGCAGCAAGGC